AAAAAAAAAAAAAAAAAAAAAAAAAGATAATTAAAAGTGTAAACAAAATATGAATAAATTCCTTAAGTTTATTATTTTTTGTGTTGTGCTTTTTTTTTTTAAATTTAAGTAAAAAGAATAAAAAATATTATAAGTAATTTTTTTTATATAATTATAAGAATATTTTAAATTATAATTCTATAAAATTTCTTTCTTTTATACTTTTTTAAAAAAAAAAAAAAAAATTATCCTTACCTTTTTCTAAATAAAACATTATAGTAATATTATATATTTATTTATTTATTATCTTTCTTTTTTTTTTTTTTTTTGTTATAATTGTTCTATATATCTACATTTACTTATTTATTTATTATATATTTTTTTTATCTCATAAATTTATATAAAATTTTGATTTGTTATTCTTTCTTTTTAATAACTATTTTTATAAAAGCTATAAAAATTTTTAAACATATAATTATCCTTTTTTCCTAATTTTATTCATTTCTATATTTATGTTGAAGTTCTATTATATTTTTATATGGTTATATGTAATTTTTTTTTTTTTTTTAAAATATATTTCCTATTAATTATTTAAGAAATCTATTTTATTTTTATCATATATAGATTATATATATATATATGTGTGTTTATCTTTATGATTTTTATGATAATATATAATAATTATGTTTCCACATATAATTATATTGTTCATATAAATGTGCATAAATATTTTATAGTTTGTGTAATTCCTTTTATTATGAGTAGTCTTTTAGATTTTTTTTTTTTTTTTTTTTTTTTTTGTGACATATAACAAGTAGTCTATAATTCCATAAAAATTAAGTTTTACTTTTTTATTTATTTTCATATATGAGAAATAAGAGTAATTAAAATGTAAATGTTTTTATAAAGAATAAAATATAATAATGAAATTAAAAAAATATATATAAAAAAAGGGAGAAAAAAAGGGAAAAAAGGAGATAGAGAAATATAGAAAAAAAAAAAATAAAAAAAATTAAATTAAAATTAATAAAATAATATAATGTGAAAAAATATATACTTAATTTAGATAAGTTTAATTTTATTAATATTGAATATATTATTTTATTTATTTAAAGAATAATTTATATATATATATATCTATATATATATATATATATGTTTAATTATAATGGGTAATAAAATAATAACTTTTTTTAGAGATTGTTGTAATAAATTATTTAACAGAAAAATTATTTTTCAAATAAGAATCTGTGGTCCAGCTCAAAGTGGAAAAACAACTTTCGTAAAATATTTATTATATAATAAATTTTTAAAAGTAAAACCAACAGAAGGTTATTTTATTTTATTTTTTTTTTTTTAACTCTTCACTCTTTTATAATATTTTTATATACATAAAAATAAATATTCTTATAATTTTTAAATAGGTCTTTTTGTTGAAAAAATTGATTTTGAAGAATTTTCAGTAATCATATGGGATTCCAGATATAATATAGAAGATGACGTAAAATGAAAAAAAAAAAAAAAAAAAAAAAAAAAAAATTCTTTTTATCATATTATATATATATATATATATATATATATATATATATATATATATATATAGAGAGAGAGAGAGAGAGTGTGTGTTTTTTTTTTTTTTTTTTTTTTTTTTTTTTTTTTTTTTTTTTTTTTTTTTTTGGGGTGGGGGGGGGGGGGGGGGGGGGGAGAGAAAATATTTTTGTTTTTATGGCGCGGGCGCGGGCGGGCGCGCGCTCTC